GAGAGACAGACAGAAAAAGACAGAGACAGAGAGACAGAAAGAGAGAGAGGGAGAGAGATTGGGGGAATGGGGCCCCAGATTGTCCCCAAGAAGTTGGGGAAGAGGGGGCAGAGAGAAGCTCCAACCCCATCCCCTTGTCCCTGCTTAGCTCTTGCTTCTCCCCTGCCCCCCCTCAATTCCTTCTCTCCTGGGCAACAGGTCCAGCATCTCAAGCCACAGGAGGCCCCGAGCTGAGCTGCCTGGCCCCCTCCCAGCACCTCTCCAGAAGCCTCTCGAGCCCCAGGGTCCCCCATCTCTCTTTCCTCACCACGGCCATCTCTTGGTCTCTCCTCTCTCATTCATTCTTTTCATCTCTCCCTCCTGTCTCACCGGTCTCTCTCCTCCCTTTTTCTCTCTCTTCCCCTCCCTCCCTCCCTGTTTCTCCTCTCTCTCTTTTGGCTCAAGCTGTCCCTCTCCTCCCCATGTCTGTCCCTTTCTGTGTTTTTTCCACCAATTTCTGCCTCTCTCCTCATGGGCCTCTCCCAGTCTTCTTCATCTCTTCCTGTTTTACTCTCTTCCAGTCTTTGTCTCTTTCTCCATCCTTTCTTGCATCTTTCCCCACATTTCCTCCCTGTTTCTTTCCCCCCCTCTCTTTTTTCCTCTTTTTTCTCCATAACTGTGTGTGTAATATATGTGTGTGTATACAAATGTCTGTGTATATGTATAACATACATATGTATACATACACACACACATATATTTCCCCTGTTGTCCTTCCCCTCTCTCCCTCCTCCATTACCCCATGAAAGGAAACTCTAATGAAATCTTGGTGCTTTGAGGAATCTCAAGGAACCCAGTCCCCCCTACCCCCAGCCTTGCCCATAATTAACTCATTTTATTGAGATTTCATCCAAATGTAAATCAGTGATGGAACAGTGAAATCGGCAAACCTTCCTTAGTCCTGGCTCTCCAAACTTCCCCCCGCAACAGCATGAGGGGCAAATCAGTTCCCCTCCCTCCTTCCCATCTGTCCCCCAAACTCAGCAGGAGGCCGAGAAACACTCCCTGGGGAAGGGGAAGAGGGCAAAGCTCTGGGGGGGTGGGGGGAACTCGAAGACTCCAAGGGGCAGAATTTGAGAGTCCCCTGCACACAAAGGCAGAGGGCTGCCCAAAATGATTTCGTGGGGTTCTTTGCATTTCCTGCTGCTTACATCAGCACTGTCATTACAATTCTATTTCTCCAACATTCTAATTCTGACACTCTCTTCTATTACTGGGCGCCAAGGGAAACTGACAGGACCTTGGTTCTTCTCTGGCCTTGGGGAAGCTCAGGTCCTAGTTCTTTTTACCATTAACCTACCTACCTGACATCTACCAACAAATATTGAGTGATCTACTACTTTTTTGGGGGGGGGGGGATGTCGGGGGGGGGCGGGGGGTGGGAGCTGCACAAGCTGCAGTCCAGCCCTCTCGATTTTTTAGGCTGCCAAGGGCTCCCCAGGACCCTTCTCTAGACAGGAAACCAGGGGCAGACTCAGCTGGTCTGTGTCAGATGTGGAGGATATTGGGAAGGAAAGGGAAGGGGGAGGGGGAGTCCTTTCTTTGGGGAGGCAGCCTTCTGTCTAAAGTTACCAAAAGGCTAGGTATTGGGGGTGGCCACCTTGGTCCCAGAAACAGGGCCTGGGAGTGGAGAAGGGAGGGGTGTGACTTGAGCACTTGTGTTTGCCCCCCCAGCTGGGCTTGGCCTGTTAAATGGCATTGTGGGTAAGGGTCACTTTGGTGGGACAGGGATTCCCTAGAAAAATCACCGGATGAGCGTAGAAAGAATGATCAATGAGTAGGTTTGGGATGAGGGAGCTTGGTGAGTATGTCGAGGAGAAGAAGCCTGGAAGAGATGGTCAGCGTGGATCTGAGCTCTGAGCCCAGAGGAGGTGTGTGTAGGGGGATGGCTGTGTGTCCTGATGCCCCAAGTAGTGCAGAGAAGAGAGCTATGAATGACTGTTGACCAAATTTGACCCTGTGGCATGGGTCTAATTGGGCTTTTTCAGAGCCATTCGGTGAAAGAGTGTGATAGAGGTTGGGAGTACAGGGTAACCTAAGGCATGGTGTGTATTTGTGTGTTGTATGTATGTGTGTGTGTGTGTGTGTGTGAGACAGACAGTGTTAACCTGTTTCTGCTATCTTATTATCACTGAGACCACGGAAAGGGGCACTGGGGAAGACCCTAGACTAAACTGACATAAAATCCCCCTCCCCTATACATACACTTAGCTCCATCCTGCCCGACCCCATCCACATCACAATGATCCCACAGAGGAAGTCTTTGACAAGCCCAGCAACCCTCTCCTCAGTATTTCCTCAGTACCCTTGTCTATCAGCCAGCCAGTCTCTGCATCCACTGAAACCTAAGCCACGCAGCCCTAAATCTAGCACCCCTAAAAACTCCCAGAAGAATCCCAGGATAATCAACTACTGCGTACCCCATATACACATCCACTGACCTCCCAGCGGGGTGAGTAGAGGGAAAAAAAAACTCCCTTCACCAAACAACATCACCTTGGTGTTCATCTGCCTCCCAGCCAGATCAGTCCCTAGTCTTGGAACATACCTGAAGTGTTCACTTAACTAGCACCTTGGCATACAATAAGAATTGCTACTAATCATCCTCGTGAATGGAAATTCTAATTTTGGACTTGGGCTGTATTGGGAGGCAGAATTACAAAAAGTAAGCGAGCTGGGTTCAGAGGGCCTGCGTTCAAGCCCACCTCTGACATTACTCATGTGACCTTGAGCAAATCATGATCCTATGATACCATGATTTAATGTATAGAACAAAGGTTCTTAATCTGGAGGAGTGGAGAGTGGGGAGCCTGTGAACTTTAAACAAATTGATTTGTTGAGCCATTTCAGTTGTGTCTGACTCTGTGTGACCCCATCTGGGGTTTTCTTGACAAAGATACCACTCCAGAGTGGTTTGCCCTTTCCTTCTCCAGTTCATTTTACAGATAAGGAAATGGAGGCAAACAGGGTGAAATGATTTGCCCAGGGTCACACAGCTAAGAAGTGTCTAAGTTCATATTTGAACTCAGATATTCATGGCTCCAGGGCCATCACTCTATCCACCGTAGCGCCACCTGGCTGCCCAAATGAATTGATAACTGTATTTTAATATATTTAACTTTCTATGGATTTCATTTTATGTGTTTTAAAAGAATTCTGAGAAGGGGTCCCTAGACTTCAGCAGACTGACAAAGAGGTCCACAAAAAAAAGGTTCAGGACCCCTGGTCTGGCATCTCCCTTGTCCTGTGTCCTAGGAAAACATCATCTTAGTACCCTATTCAGTTCTAGGTACTACATCAGAACTCTGGCAAGCCAGAGAGGAGGAGCAACCAGGATGGTGAGGGGACTGAAGGGAGATGATGTCATAATAGCAGCAGTTAAAGTTACTGGGGATATTTAGCTGTCTTTGAGTAAATGGAAGGCCATCATGTGGAATTGGGAGTAGCTTTGTCCCTCCTAGCCCTGGAAGACAGAACTCAGGAGCACCATCTGCCTTGGATTAGATTGTCTTGGACCCCCTCTTAACTCTGTTCTGGTGTGGATTCCTTTTGAGTTGGGGTTGGACTAGGTGACCCTAGGACCCTTCCAATTCTCAATTTCTGGCTTCTGTGAAGGTAGGAAGTTCCCACACCAGGAGATTTCTCACTTGGGAACTCTTGGCCTACTGATATTACCCTGTCTACATTGGAGGCTGCATCTCTGTATCCCACACCGGGATGAATAAGGCACAGCCCTTACCCTTGGGAAATTCCCAATCAAGTTCAGGTCACTGAGCTCTTTCTCTCTCTCTCTCTCTCTCTCTCTCTCTCTCTCTCTCTCTCTCTCTTTCCCTCTCTCTCTCTCTCTCTTTCTCTCTTTCCCTCTCTCTTTCTCCTCTTTCTCTCTTCCTCTCTCTCTCTCTCCCCCTCTCTCTCTTTCTCTCTCTCTCCTCTCTCTCTCTCTCTCTCTCATCCAGAGTATTGGCTAGCTCAGATGATCAACCATGCTGGGTAACTAAGAGTGCTCTGTATTTGGGAAGCCAGTCCTGGAATTAGTCCTGGGGATGGTGGCTGGCAGTCCTGAGTCCTGAGTGAACAGGGCTCTCCTCAACAGTGGGGCTCACAAACGCTGAGACAGAGACCTCATTCATTGGGGGGGGTGCAGGGGAGGGTGAAGAAGGCCCCAGGGCCTAACCACTGGAACCCTCCATTCCCCTTCTTAGCCAGTGGATTAGGGAAAGGGGGTGGTAGGTAGGGTATTGGGCCAGGGCCAGAAGTAAATAAACTCGGGTCTGATTTTTTTTAATGCTTTAAAAGGGAAAAACTTAGGTCCTAAAAAAAAATCAATTTCTCTTGCTTCTCCAGTGGAAGAAGGGAAAGTTTGGGGCAAGGCAGGTGATGGGTGTTTGTTTAGAGAGGGGCCCAGAGAGCAGCGGGTTGGTTGGGGGGGAAGGGGAGGGGGGAAGCTTAGGCATAGCGGAGCTCCCCCAGTCAGCAGGGTAGGTAGGCAGCATAGCTGTGGCCTCTTTCTGACTTGCTCCCTTTTGGCTGAGGCCAGAGTGGGTGGGAGACACTGAGCAGAGCAGGTAGAAGGAAATTGTGGGGAGGAGGAGGCCATGGAGCTCATCTTCCTCACTGGGTTGGCCTTCTGTCTGATGGGCCTTTCTGGGGAGGCCAGGTTGACCGTGAGACAGCTGACCAAGGAAGAGCCGGGGAGGAGTGGGCCAACCAGAGAACCCCTGCAGCTAGCATTGGAGCAGCCTGACTTGGGTTCCCGTGAAGGTGAGGAGAGGGGATGCTCAGGATCCCAGAGCTTTGGGGCATGGGGCTGAAGCACATGCGGGGATCCCTGGAGAAAGGAACACCTGAGATGCTTCTCCTGGCAAGGGTGACTTGAGAATCCAAAGCCAGAAGCCAGTCACTGAGCAGCCCTTCATTTAACAAGCCCAGGGTGAGAGGCTTCTTCCAAAAGAAGACCTACTGCCTGCGAGGCGAGGGTGCCCAGAGCAACAGCGTGTGGAGGGGGGACAAGGCAGAAACAAAAAAGAATCAGCAGTAGATGGTATCATGGAGCATCAGAAGGCTGCAGGGGCTCAGAGGAGGGCAAGCCCCCTGGGGAACAGAGGTCACCAGGAAGGGAAGGCTTCTGGGAGGAGATGGGACTGCAGCTGGGTGTCTTATCATTGAGATAGGTGGAAAAAAGGCGAGAGGAGAGGACAGGTCCTTCCACCCAATCAAACCAGCTAGGGCCTGGAGGGAAGAAGGAGCGTGGGCAGGGAGGGGACTGCCCTGGCTGGATCAGGGGATGGGGGATGGGGGGGCTCCATGTGTCTAAGGGAGCCAGTTGGAGAGGTAGGAAGGAACCAGACTGTGGAAGGCCCTAAATGATAACTGGCCACCACATCCCCAGGAAATGGCTGACCAAGCCATTGACCAGGGAGATGCCAGTGGCCAATGAGACCAGTACAGACCAACATAACTAGATGTCTCTAACTGCCTCCAAAGGCACCTCACTTGATGGAAGTGTGACATAGCACAGTCAAATTCAAGTCACATTTCAGGAAACAGTGGCATCAGGGATGGATGGAACTGTGCTCTCCCTGGCTTTAAGTGATAGCCCAACTGTTGTGGTGAAATCCATCCCACACACTCTCCCCACCACCCCAATTTATATGCTTTGATCATTTGGATGCCTCTTTGTATTAGAGAGAGTGATGGATTTGAGGTCATGAAGACCTGGGTTCAAATCCTGCCTCAGATAAGACAAATAGCTGGGTGACCTTGGGAAAGTTGAATCACCTCTCTGAGCCTCAGTTTCCTTATCTGTAAAATGGGGCTAATAATAGCACCTGCATTTAAATTGCTTTGCAAACCTAAAGCACTTATAGAAATGGGAGCCATGATCTCCCCCCTCCACATCCTCCATGTTTCTCATTCATATTTGAGGAGGATTTATTTAAAATGGCATCTACCAGTGAGAAGGAACTCTTACAAACACTTTACTCTCTTGATGTTTCAAATGTAATCTCATTTTTATCTCTCAACAACTCCTCTAAGGAATGTTGGTTAGGGTCTTTTTCTCCCTAATTTGAAGATGGAGAAAATGAAGTTCAGAGAGGGTAAGTCACCCCCTCCAAGTGCATGCTAAGGGTCCAAGGTCAGTAGGGTAGGGAAGAGGAAAGGAAAAGACGTCCTCCACGGCCCTGCCCCTCCTGGTGTCCCTGGAGCCCTTAGATTGTGTTGGCCTTCCTCACACACAGGCTGACCTGGTCTCTGAGTGGTGCAGGTGGGTGACTGGGAAGAGGGAGAAGAGGAAAGGGGGGGGACAAGGAAGTTGCCTCCTCCTTCTTCCTTCCCTTTTGGCAGGGTAGAGTGGAGTCTACCATAGGCCATGGCTTGATGCTTTCTGGGCGAAATGGTGGGAAGGCAGAGAAGAGTCCCTCCCAGTTTTGGTGACTTCTTTGTTCTTATACCAACTCCAACTTGGTGTCAAAGGGCTGTCAAGCAGAGCTTGCCTTCCTTGGCTGTGAGCCAGCCCCAGCTCTGGGAGGCTGCTCATATGAAGAAGGGTACTCCATGGCCTCCAATATTTGAAGGGCTGACCCACAAAGGGAGACTTTCATATTGTTCTCCTTGGCCCAGAGGCCAAGGGTAGAAGCTCCAAAGAGGTCAGTCTAAGCTTGCTGTCAGGTGATGAAGACTGGTCTGACCTAGAGTAGACTGGGCCATTTCCACAGGGGGTGGCTTCCTTCTCCTTGGAAGTCTTCAAGCAGAGACTAGAGAACTGTTTGTCAGCCTGTCACAGGATTGGACAGGGGGTTGGAGGGGGGTGTTGCTGAGGTCGCTTCCAACTCTGAAATTCTGTGAGGCAGCTGGGATCTTCTCCTGTTTTCTGCCTTTCTCTGGGACTCAGTTTCCATATCTGTAAAATGATGGGATTGGACTTGATTTCTAATGTATGCCAGAACAGAGTGGGGGAGGGGAGTAAAAACAAAAGAACCAGGAAAAAGAAAGGAAAAAATGAGGGGAAGGAACAGAAGAAAAGAGGAATATAAGCACCACCCCAGGGTACTTTGGGGTCACCACAAAGTGATAGGTTGGACTTTAGCCTCTGAAATACTGGTTATATGGCTCCTCCCCATCCCAACCCCCAATCTCACCCTCTCCAGTCTGATCCTAGATTTTCATCAGGGAAATTTCTGGGCCAGTCTCCAAGGTAATGTAGCACCCCTGCTCAGCTATGTCTGTGACATCTGGCCAAATCTAGTGTATCCTTTCGCAGGGATGGTGAAGCCCATGCTGAAGCAAAAGCACGGAGTGAAGGCTGTGGATGAAGAGACAGTGGCACCAGGACCTGGCTACCTGAGGGCCAAGAAAACTCCTAAGGTGGGCACTCACAGCCATGTAGACCTCAGCCAGGCCCAGAGGTCAAGTGGCAAATCACCCTCTAGGAATCACAACAAGGGGCCCTCTCGACGCAAGATCCATACTGTAAGGTTCCAGGAGCAAGAGGCCAAGCCAATCTATCTGAAGATCGAGATGGGAAGGAGAAAGGAAGGGAAGATAGAGGCCTTACCACCAGCCATTAGCCAATCCAGGAAAAGCAAGACACTGCCTCAGGAGGTGACTAGCCCCAAGGAAGAGAGGAGGAGCAGGAAGGTAGAAGGTGGTGACTCCAAAAAAGTCAATCTCAAGAGACAAGAAATAAAGAAGACCATCCAAGGTAAGGAGGCAGCAGAACCAAGAGATGGAAGGACTTGTGGAGAGGAGGAGTCATTGTGCAGGATAAAAAAGTCAACAATGAAAACTCTGTTCTCCCCCCACCCCCAATACAGAGCCAACCCCAGGAATTGGGCCACTATTAACCCATGTAGGCAAATCTCCCGAGGGACCTCCTAGGTTTCAAGTGGCTTATTGGTGAAAATGTCCTGATAACCAAAGGAGGCTGAGGTTTCCTGGAAAAAGCAAAGGTCTAGAGTCTGGGTGGGTGACATAGAAGGGCGCCCCCAGAGGAGGGACCAAACACCTTGGAGAGGGAAAAACCTCGGCCCGGGAGGAAAGGTCCCATGACTTCTCACTATCAGGACATTTTCACCAATAAGCCAGATGCTCCCTGGGGAAGAGCAAAGCCAAAGGCGTTGTCAAGGCCTAAGCTTTTGTTCAAAGCCCCTGTGATGCAGAGACCTCCCCACCAGAGATATCCCAGAACCTCAGGCATCTCATCAGGAAGGACCCAAGACACTCAATTCCCCAAGGGGAACTCCTCATCAAAGGAACACAACCCAGACCCCCAGAGAAAGCTCCCCAGGGCCAGTCAAACCCTGGAGCAGCAAGTGAGGCCCACCTGTCTTCTCTTCTGTCCCTTCTTCCTACCTCCAACATTATAAAATTCTCTTCCCAAAGTCTCACAATTCTCAAAAACCAGCACCCTTACCTTTCTTGCTGCCTCTAGTCAGCACCTGGCCCAGGAAAGGAGCTGGTACTCCCCTCAGGGGGATTGCCCAGATAGCTTGCTGCACTCCTACTCCCAAAACTCAGCTGATCTGCCTTCCCTGCTTGGCTAACAGCGGATCCTACATCCAGAGAAGGGAGAGAGGCGACACCATTCAGTTCAGCCAGACCTTCCACATCCCCACCCCCAATTTTACAGAGGAGGAAACTAACAGCCAAAGCGGGGATTGGGACAGAAAGCATGGGAGTCAGGATTTGGGACCCAGGACATCTGACTCCAGAGCCAGCACAGTTCTTCCTTCCACATCATGACTTTCCCCATCATGATTTCATTTTTGTTTGTTTGTTTGTTTGTTTGTTTGTCTGTTTGTTTGTTTTTTAGGCAATTGGGGTTAAGTGACTTGCCCGGGTCACACAGCTAGTAAGTGTCAAGTGTTTGGTCTGAGATCAGATTTGAACTCAGGTCCTCCTGACTTCAGGGTGGGTGCTCTATCCACTGTGCCACTTAGCTGCTCCGCCCCATCATGATTTCAATATATTGTAGGTCAGCATAAGAAATTAAATGGGAATTTGGTGAGAGTTTTACAGAAGCCGCAGACGACACATGAAGGCCAGCAGACGACAGAGAAAAAGTTTAGAAACTCTGAAGTGCATAAAATATATGTATAGTGTTGTATAATATCAACATATTTTATCTTTCATTGCCATAATGAATCAAGTTTTTCTCTAATATGAAGAGAGGGCCAAACATTTTACGTGGATTTTCCAGATCACACCGTACCCTTAACCCCTGTGATGTAGAAGAGATTACTGTACTCTTTTTCTTGTTTCAAAGTGCCCCCATGGATTTTAGAGCTGACTCTGCTATTGGCTCACTGGGTGCCCTTGACCAAGACCTTCCTCTCTCTGAGCCTCATTGTCTAGGGACCCTTCAAGCTCAGGGTTACTGTGGCTTCCTCATATTTTGTCCTCTGACTCTGCCTTCCCCCTCAGCCATCACCTGGCGATTACAACTGAAGGCAGAAGGCCAGAACAACAGTGACCTGGACAGGAACTGGAAGGACTCAAGGCCTAGCCGTGGTGACGCTCCTCTCCTCCATCTGCCCATTATCTTTCCATCTCTGGGTCCTCCTGAGGAGATTATGCCATCCCTCCTGGCCACATGCCACTTGTCTAAGGCCACCATCTCCTGTGGAAATGTCAAGATGAAGGTGATTCCACCTCTCAATGACCCAGGCCTGAAAACCCTCTACCTGGCAGGTAAGCACCAAGGGCTACAGGGCTCAGGCTCCAAAGTCACCAGAAGGCCAGAGGCCACACGGTGGCTGGATCATCTTGGGCAAGGCCTTCAGGGGCTCTGGGACTCAGTTTCCCCTCTACAAAATGACAATAAGAATCATGGCCCTTCTTACCCACAAAACAGCCTGAGGATCAAAAGAGATGGGGAAAGCGTTTGGGGGCACAAATCACCATCCAGACGCAAGAAGATATTATTAGACTATTATTATCATTACTATCATTAACAATACTTCCCTTTGACATATCCTTATGGGATCATATATCTAGAGCCAGAAGAGATTACAGAGCCCTTCATTTTACAGATAAGGAACTGAGGCCAGAAGAGGTTAGATGACTTACTCAAAGTCACACAGCTGGCAAGCAGTAGAGATAGGATTTGAACCCAGGGTCTTTGACTCCAAATTCACTGTTCCAATGCACTAACCCTACCTCACAAGTCTCATAGGCATCCACCTCATACATTTCTAGAGAGCTTTAAAGTTTATAAAGCACTTTTCAAAGATTATTTTCCTTGAGCTCTACAATTGTCCTGTGAGGTAGATAGAATAGGTAATATTGGTCTCATTTTGCATGTGGGGAAACTGAGTCTCAGAAAGGACACGCAATGTGCCCTGGGTCCTACAGCTAATGGCTGAGGCAGGATTTGAACCCAGGTCTTCTAGACTCCCAAGTCCAGCACCCTGGCTGTCCACATGGGGAACAAAGCCCTGGCTGGTCTGACCAAATGGAAAGCCTTCCAATGTGGGCCAAGTACTCTGGCTTCCGAGGATAGACCTTGTTCAATCTGGAGAGACTCAGCACTGACCTGGCCATAGACCCTTGGGAACCTAGGTGTTGATGCTGGTGAGAGTGATAGCCTAGGAGTCTCATCATCCTTATTAGAACCCAGGTGGGCTGGCAACCACAGTGCTCTGCTGGGGGTGGGGAGAAGAAACTAGAGTTTTGAGAGACAGCATGGTAAAATGTGGTGGTGTTTTTTTTTCCTTTTTTTTCCTAGAGAATGAAATTTCCAAAATCCCAGCTGAGACCTTCAAAGGCGTGCCTAACCTGGAGTTGCTAGATCTGAGCAAGAACAAGCTGGACACCCAGGGCCTGCATCCTGATGTCTTTAAGGCATGTGACCCTAGTGCTCCCTCTTTAGATAGCCCCTGGTTGAGGGGTAGAAGTGGAGCTGGGGAGGGGAATGACACAGAGAGATGGGAGAGTGCTGAATGTCTACCAGGGATGGGGAGCCTGCAGCCTCAAGGCCACATGTGGCCCTCTGGGTCCTCAAGTGCAGCCCTGTGACTGAATCCAAACTTCACACAATAAATCCCCTTCATGAAAGGATTTGTTCTGTAAAACTTGGACTCAGTCAAAAGGCCACACCCAAGGACCTAGAAGGCCACATGTGGCCTTGAGGCTGCAGGTTCACCACCCCTGGCTAGGCATTTCATGAGGATGGCTACATAGTCTGATGGGAAAGCCAGGCCCCTTTCACTCAATAGCTCTTCTACCAGCCTATCAGGGGCCTGAAATTCCACCACTAGAGCTGGGTTCTTTTGGCTTAAGCCTGAATCTGTGACTTACCCAAGGCACTAAAGAAACAGAAACCATTGGGAAGGGGGAGGTTGGGGGGTCAGGGTCAGCATGGTGAAGGCCTGTCAGTCAGGAGTCCTAGTTTCTAGTCCTGCCTTGCTGGGTGACTTTGAATAGTCATTCTTATTCTCACTCTTGTTGTTACTGCTGTTGTTAGCAGCAGTAAGAAGGTAGGTGTGGCTTTACCATTGTAACCAATGATTTTCCAGTCCCTAGAATACCTGTAATATGCTCTGCTGTCAGCCCATATAGAGGCTTGCTTCCAGAAATGTGCGACTCTGAATAGGGGAGGGGAAAGGTCCCTCCATCATTGCACTAGCTTCCAGAATCAGGCTCATCAAATCTTCATGGGGGCTGAGCTGATAGGTGCCAAACTTCTTATCATGGGTCCCTTCAGCCCCATATCTAGACATCTAGTTTCTTCTTAGTCAGAGGAGCATGGATCTAGGACTGAAAGGGGCCTCAGAAGTTATCTTGTCCAACCTCCTTCACAGACGGGGAAACTGAGGCAGAGGTGTGGAATGACCTCCCCAAGGTCACACAACTATTAGGAGACAGAGGCAGGCTTTGAACCCAGGACCTCTGACTCCAGAATCAGCATGATGGTGGTGATGGTATCGTTGCTGCTGCACGCACTTCCTGTGGAAGTCCTAAACTTCTTCCTTTCTCTTCCTCTCCCTTGACCCTTTCTAGATCACCCTCATGGGTAATATAAAAGTCCTAGCTACGATTCTAGATCTTCTGTATTATATTTTCAGCACAAACATGAGCACATGCAGAGCCCCATTACATGTCTATCATAATGGCCAACACTAGCTTGGAATTATACTCAATCCACACGTTATTTGAATTGTGAGAGTTGATATTGATACAACATTTTATTGGTCACTGAAACAGCCTCATAAGGGGCGGGCATTGTTCTCATGCCTGTTGTACAGGTGAGGGAACTAAGGCTCAGAGGGGAAGTGAGCTACCCAAAGCCACTCAGATAGTACATAGTGGAACCATAAGCCTAATATTCAGGCCTTTGGACTCCTGATCTGGAAGGCCTTCCACTCAGCCACCACAAGTGCCTCTCTAACTTCTGAGCATCCACCATTTGTTTCTCCACAGGATCTGACTCGGCTGAAAAGATTAAACTTGGATGGAAACTCTCTTTCTGCTGCCCCTGAATTGCCAGGCTCTCTCCAAGAGCTCAAGGTCAATGATAACATCCTCCAGGGCCTTCTGAGGACCAGTTTCTGTGGTGAGGACAGGGACCATAAGGGGCTATTTGACCTTCAGCACCTGTCCCCACCTCCCCTGAAGGATTGGTTGTCCCTCGGTTCTCCATCATGGAAGGATTCTAGGGATTTTTGACAAAGATTGGAGAGGCTAGTGCCCCCACTGGGAGATCCAGAGCATGGGGTGGTGGAAAGGAGAGCTGGCTTTGGAATCAGAGGAAATGGAGTTCAAAAGCTGGGACGTTGGACAAGTCTCCTCCCTGGGCCTCAGTTTCCAGTCTTCATTTCTGGAAAACAAAGACGTTGGACTTAATGGTCTCCCCAGTCCTTTCCAATTCCAGGTCTCTGATTCATCACTGAATGATCCTTAGCAATGAACAAATCCTAAAGGGGTTCTGGGCATAGACTTGGAGACCTAGCTTGTCCCTTCCTTTCGCCACCTCTCTCAGGGCCCTTCTCTGGCAGCACTGCTCACAGGCCGAGGTTCACTGTGCTCTTTTCCCCCAGGACTCACCAAACTGTTGACCCTGGAAGCTGAAGGAAACCAGCTGCATGATGGGAACATCTATCCTCTGGCCTTCCAGCCTCTGAAAAGCCTGATGTATCTGAGACTGGACCGAAACCACCTCCGGGGCATCCCCCAGGGCCTGCCTGCTTCCCTGCAGGTAAGGGCCAGAGTCCTTCCTGGGCCAAGCTCTTTTGGAAGGGTGGGACAAAAGGGGGCAGCCCTCTACATGGGGGAGGCCACCTCCCACAACACAGCAGGGTGGCCCTGGACACTGAAGATTTTCTTCATAATCTTTACTTTAAGCAAAGCTAATACATGCCAATCCAAAGTGACAACAGAGAAATTGGGGAGTGAGGAGGTATTGACAAAAGGATTCCCTTGACAAGAATCAGCTCTCCCAGGGTTCAATTAACAAAACCTCATGCTGTCTGAAAAGAACATTAGATTTGGAGTCAGAGACCTGGGTTCAAATCTTGCCTATTATCTGGGTGATCTCTTGGCATAGCACTTCTCCCTGTGCCTCAGTTTCCTCCTCTGTTAAAGGGGAGGGGGTTGGGCTACCAGCTCTAAAACTAGGTTCCAATGGGGCCATCTCTAGTCATCCTGATGTGGCCACTGGGCCCAGATGGCTCCAGAGGAGAAAGTGAGGCTGGTGACCTCGCACAGCCCTCCCTCACTTAAATTGAATTCACTTGCAAGTCATGACATCACTTCCTCTTCAAGAACAAAGGACAAACAACAACTGGGATGACTCCAATGATCCAAACTCCCTTTCTCAATAAGTAAAGAAACACTTCAGTGCATCTGAGGAAACTACATTTTGAGAGGATCCCTGGAGGAGGGAGGGTTATTTTTTTTGCCAAGGTAGCATTACCCTTCTCCACCCAATTTTCTCAGGCTGGATCAGTTCTAACCCAATCCTCTCATTTTCCATGTGGGAAAACTGAAACCCAGAAAAAGAAAGGGACTGAGTGACTTGACATTGCATTTGGAGCCCAAAGACCCAAGTTCAAGCTCTGGCTCTGCTCCCTTAATACCTGGGCCCTCAGTTTCCTCATCTGTAAAATGAAGGGGGATGTCTAGGGCAGTCTAAAAGTCACAGCTCAAGGTCCCAGCAGCATCCTGGCCAAGGTGGAATTGGACCCCAGGTCTCCTTTCTCCTGGGTCAAGAGTTCTGTCCATTGCACAGAATGGAAAGGGATTTCCCTCTACCCAGGCTCCTTTCAATAGGAAGTCCCCTCCTAGTGCACTGAAGATGGGGCTCACTTTCCAGACATCTGGGCTCCACACAGTGCTTTTTTAGGGACACACCTGCAGGATGAAGCAGTCCGCCTCCCATCCTTCTCTGGCCTCAGAGCTAACTGGCTTGGCCAAGGCTTACTTCTGGTATAGGGGCGGCGAGGGGGCGGGGTCCCGCTCTGGAGTTTGGAAGGAGAAGCCCTGGGACTCTAGGGGTCTAATGGAAGGGGGAAATAGGTCTCGTGTCCAATGTCAGCCCTGAAACGCCCACCAAGCTTCCTTTCCAGGAACTTTCCCCCTTCCCCTCCGCCTCTTGTTTGCTTTGGATGGCTGTGTGCAGGAGATGCTGAATGTTTTTTGTGGCAGCTGTCTCCCTCCCCTGGCACCAGGGTGAGGGAGCGGGATACAGACCAGGGTCTGTTCTGCAGACCAGGCTCTTTTGGAGCCAAAGGGCGTCTTCTCAGTCATGGCGTGGTGGAAAGAGGAATGGCTTGAGAGGTCCAAGAGCCCTGAGTTCTGGTCCTGGTTCTAGCATGAACTCGCTATGGGTAACCTCGGTTTCCCATCACAATGAAGGACTCGATGATCACTAAGGTCCTTTCTAGCTCTCAATCCTCTCATCTAGAGCTCTTCTTGGGACTGGGCCAGAGGGAGGAAAGGGACACACAGGAGGGTCTGATTTGCTAGAGCAAATGTGTAGCTCAGGGAGTGCCTTGGAGCCAGTTACCGTAGGGACCAGCCCCTTCAGTCAAGATTGCAGGAGAAGGGCGGGAAGGGACGTGGAAGGGCCTTCTTGCCCCAAATCATAAATTTAGAGAATGGTGAAATAGGAAAGGACCTCCAGAGGCCAGTTAGTCCAAAGCTCTTATGTTAGAGAGGAGGAAACTGAGGCCCATGGAGCAGAAGCAATTTGCCCAAGGTCACAACAGGCTCCTAGATCTAGAGCTGAAAGGGACCCCCACATTTTACAGAGGGAGAAACTGAGGCCCATGGCGATTACATGATTTCTCCATAGTCACACAGGTAGTAAGGCAGCAGAGTCAGGACTTGCCCTAGACCACATGACCCCAAAGTCAGTATGAACTAGGAATTGCTAGCAGCTGCATCACTAGTGGGTTGATGAAATCACCGACAGGTGGATGAGTGGCAGGCATCACTAGTGGATGGGGAGACAGTAGGCATCGCTGGTGGGTGGATGGCAGACATCATCAACACTTGGTCCCTAGGTAGTAGGATGGGGCTAGAATCTCCCTGTTGGGAGACCAACCTTCTGGTCCCAGGCCCAGGCCCCCTTTTCCCCAACCCCTCAAGTCGTCAGGAAGGCAGGTGACTTGGCGTAACTTGGTCTATAGCTTCAGGAAAGGCCACCAATCTGCCTCCTTGCCTCATGCTTTCTGCCCTCTTGGGACTGGGCGGGGTCTAGGAACTCCACCTTGACACTAATCACATCGAAGAAGTGAGTGAGCGTGTACTGAATAAGACCCAAAGCTTGAGCCTGCTGGTACTAAGCAACAACCGTATCCAGGAGGACCGCATTGCCCCCCGAGCATGGATCGACCTCCCGTGAGTGTGGCCCCCCCCCCCATTCCCCTCCTCTCATTTTAGGAAAAAGGAGGAAACTGAGGTAAGTGGCTTGCCCACAGTCACACAGCCAGTAAGGATCAGAGGTAAGATTCAAACCCAGGTTGACACTTTGCTGACACTCTGCGCCACTCCACAATGCCCACAGAGCCCTACTTCTTCAAAGGAGCTCTCAGCAGCTCTTTTGGCCTCAACCAACAAATGTAGCCCAGAGGTTACACGCCAAAGGTCTGCTGCATCTCCCCCTAGTTCCTCTGGTGGCCAACAACACTTCTACAAGACAGCTGGTCCAGCCAGGGCTCAGGCAGTAGCTAGGGCCATGGAGCAGGGCTGTTCTGGGGAGCTGTAAAGACAACTGTCACCCCCAAGCTCCAGTGTCATACTGAAATATGAGCCTTATTAGCTGTGGGCTCTGACCTACCAAGTTACTCTTCTTGTCTCCTCAAGTAGTAGACTTCAGGACTTTCCTAGTTTACCCACTGCCCAAAAAGCATCCTACAAACAAGGGTGTGCTGGTACATGCTTAACAATCAGATCTTGCCCCCAAAAAATATATATATGTGGGACACACTTTTTAGTTTCATCTGAATTTTTAATATTTTCTCCATCACTTTCTTAAGCCTAGGCAATCAACAAACCAACCCATGAAGCCCTGATTTATAGCATTTGCCAATTAGATGACTCTCCCAGGCTGAACTTTGCACAACTTAAGGCCCGTCTTCCCTGACCTGGGCTTTTTCTTCCACTCTACAGTCATGCTAAATCTATGCTTCTCCCCAAATAAATGAGCATTTGCCAGGTTGACTTGACCTACCATGATTCAATTACTATGCCTAGCCTTGTGTATAAGCAGCATGTACAATAGAAAGGGCATTGACCCTTCCCACTGAGCTTGGAGTCATGGGACCCAAGTTTAAATCTTAACCATGCACTCCTCCCAGGACCTCCTTTTCCTCCTCTCTATCATGAGGGGCTTGGACTAGATGGCTTCTGAGGTTGTTTCCAACTCCAAATCTGTGCTCATATAGTAAGCATATAGTAAGCACTTAATAAATGCTTGTTAACTGATGATCCTATCCTATGATGCCATGATTCCTCCAAGGACTCCAGAGTTCTCACCCGATTCAGAAGGAGAATGGCTTTCTTCCCTAACCTCTCCCCTTCTCTCACCCTCTGCCCCCCCAACCTTGCTTGCCGCAAGGTAACTTGGGATTGGTCTCATGATCATAGATAGCTGGAAAGTAATCTTAGCGATCATTTAGTCCAGCTTCCTCACTTTAAAATTAAAGAAACTGAAGCCCGGAGAGGAAGAAGGCCGAGGTCACACAAATCCTCTCAATATTCCCATTTCCTCTAAGACAAATCCAAAACCATGTGGGGCTGGAGATTGAGAAACAAAGGATGTTTCCAAAACACATGGGCTTAGTTTGAGCCAAGGCCCCATTCTCCCATCCTATCATTGCCATGCCTGTCTTGCTTCCTTGCCACCTCTGCTCTGCCAAAGTTGAGGGTGACAGCTGGCCAGAGACAAGGGGCAGGAGAGCCAGAGGTAAAGGCACTTACAGTTGGACTGGATTTGGGGCAGGTCAGAGGTCCAAAATCTTGGTAGCTTGGTGAGGTTCAGAAGAAGGCAGGTCATCTCAGAAGTTGAGAATGAATAAGTCAGGAATCTGAGCTGTGAGGATGGGGTGAGGTATCTATTGTGTCCCTCTGTGGTCTCAGGCCTGTCTACTCTAAGACTAGTGCTGGTTACCAAGTAGCTGGAGACAATATCTCACTCCCCTTTGGCTCATTATCAAGCTCCGTGATTGCTTCTAGGTCTGAGCCCACTAGCTAGGTCTTGATTTCCTAATTCCTTGTCCTTCAGTCTCCTAGCCCAAGTCCCCTGCTGCCTGACCTCCTGTCCTCTGGAGCTTACATGCTGTGACCTTTGCTCTATCGGCCTTAGTAGACCTCCCTGAACTTGACCTCGTTGTTGTTATTCAATCGTTTCAGTCATGTCCAACTTTTTGTGATCTTATTAGGGGTTTTCTTGGCAAATATACCAGAATGGTTTGTCATTTTCTTCTCCAGCTCATTTTACAGATGAGGAAATTGAGGCAAACAGGGTAAAGTGACTTGCCCTATTACAGCTAGTAAATTTCTGAGATCAGATTTGAATTCAGGTCTTCCCGACTCCGGGACCAGCACTCTATCCACTGCAGTGCCACCTAGCTGCCCCAGACTTACCCTCAGGTCTTTCTGATTGATAGCATCTGCCTACCCTCCTCCTGTCTATCCCTATTCCCCCTCTCATTTCCAACCTGTTGCTGCCTAAGGAATTTGGGGTGCCAATGGGTGTCTCACCAAAGGCTCAGGAATATCAGAGCTTTGCCTTAAGAATATGACTCTCCATTCACTGTTTCAGGAGGGATAGAGTCTGGATGCTGGGGAACCAATCAAAGACTATTACAATAAGCCAGGGAAGAGGCAGTGATGACCTGAACTAGGACATTGAGAAGGAGAGTGCAGAGGAATGAATGGATGAAGAAGACACGGCTGGACTTGGTGTCTGGGAATAGGGAGCCAGGGACAAGGAGAAAACCAAAGTTTCAGGGCAGGAAGGAGCTGACGATCTACTGATTCTCAGAGAATCAAATCTCCTGCCCAGTATTCTTGCTCCATTCCAGGAAAAAGTTACCCAGAGCTTTTGGGTTCAATTATTATGTTTTTCTCTTCCCCCTCCTCGCCAAGTGAGGCAAGGGAAAGCAGACACCAGTTTTGGTGGAAGAGAAGCCCCACCCAACTGCTCCGTTGGCCCGCTACGCCCATTGTGTGGTGGGGCTGGCCTCCCTTGTAGGATTCCCAGACAAGCCCTGGCAGCAGGCCCCTCAACCACCCAATCTGGCCCTCCAAATGTCGGGGTCTGTGGTGGTTGGGACAAAGGGCTGAGCAGAACTGACCCTCCCACATTCCCTTAGGAGGGAGAAAAGACACCATTCCCACTCACCTCCGTCCATCACTGGACGTCTTCAGGTAGAGGATGGATGGACATTTGTTAGCAATGCCATAGAATGGGGCAGACTAGGTGGCTGTTGAGGCCACTGCCAGTTTGGGGATGCTGTGGAGTCAATGCCATCTGGGACCATCCATCCTTAGGAAGTTCTGCCTTACTGTCAGCCCAAAATCTGCCTCCCTATGACATCCTTCATCACTCCTCAATGTGCCCTGGCCAACCAAGTAGGATAAGTCTTTCTTCTTACACACGTTAGTCCCTCCAGTTCTTGAAGAGCTTGTTTAAGATGCCCCAAGGTGCCTCTTCTCCAAGTTAAACATACTCAGTTCCTTCAGCCAATCTTCATACAAATGCCATGGTCTTCAGTGTCTCAGTGAAGAAAGGGTTTGGTGAAGGAAAGAGAGGCATAAAGAAGATGGCTAAAGGGGAAGGGTGACTCTAACTTCTTTTTGAGCCTGAGTCTCCCCATCTTGCCCAGGCTGGAAGTGTGGTGGCCACTCATGGGCCCCATCCCAATGCAGATCAACATGGGAGTTTCATTCATGACCTGGGCCCTTTCACATGCACCTTTAGGTAGCCTGGTGGCCCCCTGCTCTTTGGGGGCTTACCGATTGGTGCCAGACTTTATTTGGACAACCAATTGGCTTAGCCAACAGCAACTTGGAACTCCCAAGCTCAAGTGATCCACCAGTTTCTGCCTTCCCAGTTGCAGGGATTGCCCAAGCCAATCTAGTGAACTTTTAAAGTTCTCCAAAAGTACCTGTTTACTCTGCTAACTCTATGTTATCCTTAGCTATTCTCCTCCTTTACCAGGCTAGTTTGATTTACCATTATAAGCCTATCTAGTCTTTCCCACCATTAACCTAGATTTGACCAGATTTCCTCAATGCGTGTCACAGGTAGGAAAATCCACAATTCGCCCTTGCCACCTTCTCTGTCACTAAGTAGTCTGTATGTCTTTGGTCACTTCACCTCTCTGGGCTCTCTCTTTCAGAGGTCCCTTCAAAGGTCCTTTCTTGTTCTAAATATCACCGATTCTCCCCTCTTCTTTGGCTTTCAATTCTTTCCTCCCCTCCTCATTATCGTTGATGTTGTTTTTCAGTCATTCAGTCATGTCCAACTCTTCATGACCCCGTGGACCATAGCATGCCAATATTCTCCATGGGATTTTCTTGGCAAAGATACTGGAATGTTTTGCCATTTCCTTCTCCTATCCTCCTCATTATAGGGGAGGCTAAAGAAGGGAGAAAGGGGGGGGAGATGAAAGGGAAGGAATCCAACCAAAGTGGGATGGCTGAAAGATGTCCCCTTATCCCATCCTATCCCAAAGTATTTTCCTCATGACCCATCACAGTGCCTGAAATGTTGTCATTTGAACTTCACTTTTTAGGGGTACCCAAAAAGCCTGTCTCAGACTCTGAAGCCAGGAGACTTTAGGGGTGAAGGGATGGGGCGGTCAAGGGTATTAGGGGAGCAGAATGGAATGGAAGAAGTCTGCCAGTTTCCAGATTTTGTTTGTTTAACTTGAGGACAGACTGGAATCTGTGAGGAAAGAGGAGGCAGACAGAAGAAACCTGGTCACCACCTGTTTTGATTTCCATGATCGGATACTGCCTTAGCTCCTTCCATTTGAATAATCCTCCAATATCTTTATAACTCCTGGGGTAGCCACAAGGGCTTTGGACCAGACATGCACAGTTGGAAGCATCTGCCTTCCTTGTGTTAGGTAGCAGGCCCGGATGAAGTCAATCCTTTGCCTGGGGAGTTCTCACCAAAGTAAACTCAAATCTCTGAACCCCAACTTGGACCCTGATAGCTAGAACAATAATAATAATAATAATAATAATAATAGCTAGAGCTTATAGAGCCCTTTAAGGTTTGGAAAGCACTTTAGATATGCCATTTCATTTAATCCTCACAACACTCCTGGGAACTCGGCACTATAATTATCCTATTTTACAGATGAGGAAACTGAGCCAAAGAGAAGTTAAAAGAGTGGCCCAGGGTCACTCAGCTGGGAAGCAGAATTCAAACTCAGGTCTTAATGAGTCACTTAGCTGAACCTAAGACAGCTGGCTCACCTGATGATCTTAGGCCTCAGCTCTCACCACCTCTACTTGGGGAACGGACAAAACAATGGAGAAGACAAATGGGTGCCCAGAGAGCTGGAGGAAGAAGCTTATGGACAAATATGAACAGAGTAAGGCAGGCAGAGAGGAGGACTATTGTTAGTGAAAGAACCCTTGGATGTTAGAGCTAGAAGGGGCCTTATTGCTCATTAATTCCAAAAAGGGAAACTGAGGCCCAAAGAGGGGACAACACTTGCACGCAGTCACACATCTAGTAAATGGCCAAGCCAGGATTAGAGTCTCTTGACTCCCTGGGCATGTTTTCTGTTACACCTGTTGAAGGTAAGAAGAATGAGAAAAACAACTTAGAAAGGAGCGAGCAGGAGAAGTGTCAACATCTCCAGTGAGAGAGAGAAAGAAAAGTCTTCTGGGTATGGGGACTCAGACAGAAAGAGTTTTGTGTGTGTGTGTGTGTGTGTGTGTGTGTGTGTGTGTGTTCATGTGCATATGTGTATGTGCATGTGTGTGGGGGTGTGTGGGTATATAGTATGTGGGGGTGTGCATGTGTGTGTGTGTGGTATGTGTACATGTGGTATATGGGTATATGTGCTTGGGGGTGTGTATGTGGGGTATGGGGTGTGTGTACATGTGTATATGCATGTGTGTGCATATGTGTGCATGTGTGGGTGGTGTGTGGGTGTATTGCCTGGGTGGGTAGGTAGGTGTATGTGTGGTGGTAGGGGTATGCATGTGTGTGCACACATATGTGTGTGGTGTGCGCATTGTGTGTGATATGTGGGTATATGTGGGGTGTGTGTGTATGTATGTGTGTATGTGTGATTTGTACCCTGAGAGTCTTCATCCAGTGCTAAAGTGTTTTCTTAGACTCAGTGACCGGAGGGGCAGCTAGGTGGCGCAGTAGATAGAGCACTGGTCCTGAAGTCAGGAGGACCTGAGTTCAAATCCAGCCTCAGACCAAACACTTGACACTTACTAGCTGTGTGACCCTGGGCAAGTCACTTAACCCCAATAGCCTAATAAATAAATAAATAAATGTTTATTAGACTCAGTGACTGGAATGGGACTGATCTCTCCAGTCTGAGCTGGGAATCTGGAGGGAAAGAATTCAGGATCCCAAGCTGTATTCCTGAAGCCCCCATCTAAAGAGGAGAGCCCCTTAAGAGCCCTGGGTAACAGTAGAACAGTAGAACAGATGAGCAGCAGAGGCCAGAAGACTGTTCTTTGGTGGGCCTGTCCAGGATATTCCAGCATCCCTTCCCCTATTAGGAAATTTTGACTCTACCCTGGTCCCTGTGTCTGTCTTACACTTTGTCCTTAGACAAAGTGTTAGACCTAAAGGTCTAACTCTCTCTCTTCATTAGGAAACTTGAGTCACTGGACCTGTCCCACAACCGCCTGGTCCATGTGCCCTCCTTTCTGCCTCGTGGGTTGAGACGGCTCACGCTCCATCACAACCAGATTGAGCGTATCCCTGGATATGTCTTTGCGCACATGAAGCCGGGCCTCGAGTTCCTGCACCTTTCTCACAACAGCCTGCGGGATGATGGCATCCATAGTGTGTCATTTCTTGGCCTGCACTGGTCCCTGGCGGAGCTGCTTCTGGACAACAACCAACTGCAGGCCATTCCCCAGGGCATCCTGGGTCTCAAAGGGTTACAGGTGCTTCGTCTCAGCCACAACAAGATCAGGTATAGCAGTGGGAGATGCCACCTTTGCAGCCACCCTCTGAGCCCCAACACAGCATGCCCATTGGATAGCAAAACGTTGCTGTCTCCAGGGCAAGCCCCAACCAAAAGACAGCCTGGCCAGGCTCGCTGCTTGCTAGGGCAACTTTTGGCCACTACTACCTGGAGGGCTGGAAGGTTTCTAACTCAAAGATGGAGCTCCTAAGATTCCTGGCCTCTTCTTCTTCATGGCCCCCATGGTTCCAGGAACCAGGAGCAAGGACCACATGAGACAATGCTGGTGTCAAGGTCCAATTCTGACCTAAGATCTGAGAGCCAGAGAGTCAGAGCAGGGACCCCAGGGAAGGCAGGAGACAGCAGGGACC